ATAAACCACGATGATTTTACTATATGTATATACTGTGAAAGGATTCACAATAGGAGTAACACATCTATCACCTCCCATATTTGCATTTGTGTGTGTGTGTTTGAGAAGTAGCATAATTTATAAGATAATTTGTTATAGAACACTTGAGTCCTTTCCAGTTCTTCACCATTATCCCTCTGAGATGAGCAGCCATTACCTCCATCTTTCTGCACATCTCTGATTATTTCCTTAGGATAAAGTCATAGAAGTAAAATTTCTGGCTCAAAGAAAGTAAATATTTTAAGATTTTTGATACGTTTTGCTAATCTCTTTCCAAGAACTTACATCCCTAACAGGAGCATATCACAGATCATAGCTAGCCATACATGTGACATTAATGTTTACATTAAACGCCTCCAGAAGTAAAATTTATCTATAACCATTCTTTCTCCCAAAGAACAAAGGCTCTTTTTTATTGTTTAAGATTTATTTATTTATCTGAGAGAGAAAGAGAGAGACAGTGTGGGGTGAGGAGGGGCAGAGGGAGAGGCAGAGAGAATCTTAAGCAGACTCCGCACTGAACGCAGAGCCCAATATGGGGCTCCATCTCACAACCCTGAGATCATGACCTGAGCAGCAACGGAGAGTCGGATGTTTAACCAACTGTGCCACCCAGGTGCCCCCAAAGGCTCTTTTTAAAAAGTAAGTCTACAATAAACAAAACTAGTATCCAAATCTTGGTTTCTAAATATCATAGTCCCAAATCAAGTACCCAGAACCAGGGCTTTTTTTTTTTTTTTAAGATTTTATTTATTTGACAGAGAGAGACACAGCAAGAGAGGGACCAGAAGCAGGGGGAGTGGGAGAGGGAGAAGGAGAAGAAGGCTTCCCACCAAGCAGGGAGCCCGATGTAGGGCTCGATCCCAGGACCCTGGGATCATGACCTGAGCCGAAGGCAGACGCTTAACGACTGAGCCACCCAGGTGCCCCAGGAACCAGGGCTTCTTGAAGAAATGGCTGATTCCTGGAATCAGGAAGGAACTAGATCAGCCTGGAACATCTTCTTGTGCCAGGAAGAAAATGCTAAAAAGTGATGGAGACATCAAAAGGACACAGGAACTAACTTGAAGGGACTCTTGCATCGGGACATTTTCAGCATGAAAGTGAGTAACAATGTAATACAACATTTGAATTTGAAAAAGAATCCATAAGTCTACAATGAAACAATAAATGAATGAACAGGTGAATAAACAAGTGAAGAAAGGAAGGCTCTCATTTACGCTAGACCTTTTTGCTGTCTACACAGTAACTGTCATAATAATACCCGATTCAAACAAGAATCGCCAACAGATGCTTAAAACATTGAGTAACTTGTGTTGGGAGATGATACTTACATAGCCTCAAAGTATCTTCCAACAGCTTAATTATTAATTACAAAGGGGAGAAAAAAGGTATTTTTACTGTAGAGAAATTGGGCGAACCCCTTAGTCGAGGGTTCAAAATTAGTATCACCAATAACGAGACAAACGGACATCATAGTCTCCCGTTAAAATATGCCAAGGGCATATGACCTCTGAAGTATTCCTACCAAAACCACATAACCTTAAACTAGGCAAGAGGAAGGGAAAATCAGATAAACCCAAAATGAGGGACATTCTACACAACTGTCCTGCACTCTTCAAAAATGTCAAAGTTTAAAAGACAAAGAAAACCAGAGAAACTGCTCAATTAAAGCAGACTAAATAGATACACCAATTAAGTGCAATATGTGATCCTGATTGGATCCTGGGTTGAAAAAAACTGCCATAAAAAGTCCTTATTGGGACAGTCAACAAAACTGAATACAGACTGTAGGATAGGTAATATTATTGCATTAGTATTAAATTTTCTGATTGGATAGTTGTATTACGGTTGCATTCTCAGGAGATTCTAAAGTGTTTAGGGATGGATGTACCTAGTATCTGCAATTTATCTCATGGTTCAATAAAATATGTATGAATACAGGGGTGCCTGGGTGGCTCAGTCGGTTAAGCATCCAACTCTTGGTCTCAGCTCAGATCATGATCTCAGGGTCATGAGACTGTGTCCTGCATCGGGCTCCACACTCAGCAGGGAGTCTGCTTGAGGATTCTCTCCTTCTGCCCTCTCTCTCTCTCTCTCTCTCTTAATCTCTCTCAAAATAAATAAATCTCTAAACAAACAAAAACATGTATGAATATGTATAAATTAATATAATATATAAAGAGAAAGCAAATGCTGAATAATGTTAGTAAGTGGTGATTCTAGGAGAATGCTAGAATTCAAGGTACTATTCTTGTAGTTACTCCCTAGGTGTAAAAATTTTTTAAAAATTAAGTTTTAAATAACTACATAGATTTTAAGTAAATTCCATTTTTCTCTTTCTTCTAAATTAAAAAAGTAATAGATACTCACTAAAGCAGACAAAAGTAATACATACTAAATTAGAGGTCTACAAAAAAAAGTCAAAATAGAAAGTCATTCTCTATCCCCTTACATATGTGAAGTTCAAGAGTTTGGTAAATATTTTCTCCACCTTTCATGAAGTTCATAAAACATAATCAGATATCAGATACCCTTCAAGAGTTACATGAGTGAGCTTCAAACATATTATTAAACGTCCCATTGCTTCTTGGCAAAAATGACCAAGTAACATAAAACTGAATCTACACGGTGGAAAAAAATCCAGAGCTCATTACCTTTACCTTACTTAGAAAACACCTAGCTGGAAAGCCAGTACACAGTTCATAAACAAAAATCAACCTAAGAAATGCATATTTTCTTTCCCAGTAACTGCCAACCCCTAGCCAAAATGTTCTACATCTCAAACTCATGTTGAGTCAGTAAGTGTGGGGATGCTTTGCAATAATTGACCATGTCTCCTTATCACTGACAGTCACTGACTAACCAAGCCCCCAAAGCTGAAACTGAGTTTCTGGTTTTCCTACTTAAAGTTTATGAGTTATGTTCCTGCAGTTTACTATAAATCAACTCAATTTCTGAATGATAACCCATTTAGGTTAAATACCTACGTAAGAGCAGGACTTGGTGGTTTCCAACTCCTGCTTTCACCCCTGTGCTTTCCTATGTCATTTCCCTAGCTTTCTCAAAGATAGTAAAAAAAATAAAATTAAAAAAATTAAAAAATAAGTGGTATTATGTATGGGGGGTGGGGGTGGAGTGAATAGGTTGCAATTACTGTTTTCCTGGCAAAATTTGTTCTATGACTCGAAAAGTCTTTCTCACATCCAACAATCATATAAGAACATGCTTGTTGTACAGAAGCTGCATGACATAATGCTTACAAACATTAGCATGCTTAAATATTTTGAATATAAATTTGATGGAACTGGTTTATTTTCTGTCTAACCTGGTCAACTACAGATATCAGAGTTAAGAACTACAGAACGGGGTCTGATCTCCTGGATTTTACTTGCCCCTCCTGAGGCCCCTTAATACATTTTTCAAATCTCTGTTTCCCCATCTATAAAATGGGTACAATAATGTTTGCCTGTAAAGGACGTAGCGTTCACTAGATAAAAGAAGCTAGGTTCCATCCAGGGTAAGAAATGGTTTTACTATGTGGTTACTATTTTCAAATGTGTTGATCAAGAAATAAGGGGGAGGAAACTTTTTCTACATAGCACCCTTCTGTTTTGTGTGGACGCTGGCGTTAAAAGCTATCGCTCCTTAATGCTTTCCACAACCTACAGGTTACGCCAAGGCAGAAAGATCTTAGTCCTTCTCACCTGGCTTCAACAATTGGAAACCCAGCTGGTGACCACAGAGTCACACAGCACTGCTGGGAGGAAATGCCACAAAGTGTTGCCATTCGGGTCTCCTTCTCTAATCAATTGCTATGGTTCACTGACAGCAGTTAATAAAAAAAAAAAAAAATGAAATCATTCAGGGAAGATTAAAAGATATTTATGGAAAAGTTCCCTTTAAAAAGACATTGGGGAAAAAAACCAATAATTAGCCAAAAGAGGACATAAAGAGAAATGGCCGGAACAAGCTCCAGAGGGTAGCTGTTAAAAGCTATCAATGCACTGAGCCCCTGCAGGTCAGCTCCACCGTTAGCTTTATTCTCCAGGTCCCAAACTGAACGTGGGGACCAAGCTGTGTCATATTCCTAAGGAAGAGGAAGGGCCTAGGTAGGAGCTCTGCGCTCCCTCCAGGACCAGCACAAGTCCCAGACTCGGGAGGCCAAGACTCTTTTCTGATGTTACAAATAGGGCAGCCCTTTCTTTGTCTAGCACCTGTTAATTCCTTATTAAACAAAGTCCATCACTTTTGGCTTCTAGTAGAGGTGAAATCCAAGAATCTAGTATTGTTTATATTTCAGTAGAAAAATAACGCTTTTTATTTTATTTTTTTTTTTAAAGATTTTATTTATTTATTTGACAGAGAGAGAGCACAAGTAGGCAGAGTGACAGGCAGATGGAGAGGGAGAAACAGGCTCTCTGCTGAGCAGGGAGCCGGATGTGGGGCTCGATCCCAAGACCCCAGGATCATGACCTGAGCCGAAAGCAGCCGCTTAATGGACTGAGCCACCCAGGCGCCCCAACGCTTTTTATTTTTTAAAAGACAATTCCTGATGGCCACAAACTGACGAAACCCAAAATAGAAAGGGAATAAAAATGTTCACACGTTACTCTCTACTGACCCCTCTCGGCTGACCTGGGGAAAAGCAAAGCCTGAAGCCTAGGAAGGTCTGAAACCTCACCTTCCCCTCAAGGAGAGCTCAGAGAACATTCAGGTCTTTCATGCCATGGAAAGAAATCCTCTCAGTTCAGATGACCCCTAGGAGAACTCAACCCTAAAGCACATGTGGCAATGATTTCTATTTATGGGGCTCCCAGAATGGAAACTGGGAAACAGCCTCATGGATCAGCCCCAAAGGCCTCACTTGCTAGGGCCCTGACAGCCCGTGCCCTCTGACTCGGTTGAAAAGTTACATAAGTGCAATCGCAACCATTTCTGACAGCAGAAAAAGACCTTACCTCTTTCTCTATTTTGAGCAGCTTCTTTACAGCCACCTCCTTGTCCTGGGATATCCATCTGGCTCGATATACACTCCCAAAACTTCCTCCACCGCAGTTTTCAAAAAACTGCAAGTCATCAAATTTAATTTGCACAAAGGAGGTACCGAGAGACGACATCTCATAATGACAAAGTATTAGACTCCCACAAAATCTGCAGAGAGAAAGCAAAAGTTGGATTATAAACATGTTAGAACAAATCCTCGGAATCCCACTTTTGATAACGTGTAACAAGCACTGTGAAACTTCCAGAAAGAACCGGATGACTTAGGAGAAAGGAAAGCGAGACTATGAACGAGTCAAAGTGAAAACCCTTACCCTGGCAGCCCGGGCAAAAGTCAACAGCCACTTGTCCTAGACTTTGAAACACAGCTGTCCACAGAGAAATGGCTCAGATTTCCCCCCCGACAAAACCCGTCGCGGCACTTCCTGCACATCCCCAGGAGCTCTGCCTAAAGGCTACTGTGTCACCAGGTCTATCACTAAGCCCTGACAAGCGGGAGGCATGCTTTCGGCAGCACGCTTGCATAGCTCTCCCGGCATCCGAGGCACGCCGGCTCTCCACGTTGTGCTCACTTTACGCGAAATATACATAACCTAAGCTCCGGGGCATCCTGCACAAGGAGGGCCACCATGCTGCAAACTCAGCACACGTTCAGGGTTTCTAGTCCGAGAGCAAACGTTCCGTTTAGGGATGATAGGAAAGCTGGCCAAGTGTTTTCCACAAGTAGCTCCCTGGACTGTATACTGTAGCAGAACTTAATTAAAGAGGAGAAAATCTGCCCTTGATTACAATATATTAAGTCATCCAAAGAAGTCTGCCAAGAATGTTTAAAAAAAAAAAAATATTATGTTTGTCTCCAGAGGAACAGATTACCCCTCCCAGAGATTATTACAGTGATATTTTCTGCAGTCTAAGGAGTTTTACTATTACCCGGGTAAGCGGTCATTCTTTACACCCCATGCCAAACCACAGATTAGCAGGAAAAACAAAACAAAAACATACAAACAAGAAAACAATGGACTAAAATTTTGAACCTGCATAAAAAGCAAGTAGATAACAAAAGTCTGTACACAAGTTCCCGCCAAACTGTAAACCAGAATCTCACAATGAGGGAGCGAAAAGACATATCCATATGCATGCAAAACAACTGGCCTGGGGTCCTCATAACAGTCAATGTCAGGAAAGATTAAAAAAAACAAAAAGCAGGAAAATTTCCTAAGGAGACATAAATAAATATGATGACTTAAGGCAATGACTGACCACTGCTGGATACTGGCATCAAAAAACAAAATCTACACAAAGTATTATTGGGATTTGAGGAAAACCTGAATACTAACTATATATTACGTACTATTATTTTATCCATGGATAATAATGGTATTCTGGTCCGGTAGGAGAATGTCTTTGTTCTTGGGAGATCTACTGGGAGACACATTTAAGCATTATACCTATAACTTCATTTAAAATGGTTCAGCCCCCCTCAACCTCCAAAAACAGTGCATAGGTATATAGAGAGGGGAAGCAAATGAGGCAAAATGTTAAGAACTGGTGAATCTAGGCAAAAGTTATAGGAGTGTTTCACTACTCTTTCCATTTCTCTGTGGGGTTTGATTATTTTCAAAATAAAAAGGTGGAGGGGGCAGTTTGTATCTATATAAATGGTCAAAGTTTCTTCATAAACAACTTGAAGCTCTGCTGAGTGATGTACACAGTCAGCTCAGAGATCCTAATGTGCAGCTGACTGGCAATCCCATTTTAGGAACATCATGTCACTGAAGAATGCGGATTTTTTTTTAAGTAAGCTCTATGCCTAATGGGGGGCTTGAACTCACAACCCCGAGATCAGGAGTCACATGCTCTACCTACTGAGCCAGCCAGATGCCCCAAGATTGCTGATTTCTTACACAAAGTCAAACTCTGCTCTGCTCTGGGGAGAAGGCAAGAGAGAGGATTGTTTATCATCTAAAGTTTAAAAGCTAGCTTACAGTCTACATAAAAATACAGGGCAAAAAAACCTACTGCATCCAGCTTTAGTCTATACACACATGTGAGTCAACAATTTACCTTACTAACTTTTGCTTCAATTCATATTTACTTAATTATAGAAAAGAAGAAAGTTTGGATAAAATTTAGGAATGTGCCAAAGGTAGGTACAAAGAATAGGCAAGCTAAAAAGTTGGTTCAACAAAATGCAAAGCACTACTTGCAAGATTCCCTCAGTGTCACTGATGCTAGGCCTATATTGTTATCATTTTAATTTTATCAAAGTATAAAAATAAAATAGGACTACGAAGCTTATAATAAAAAATAGAACTCTCCTACTCCATCCCTCCGCACATCCAATTCTCTCTCCAGAGGGAACTAATTTTAACTCCTTTAGCATTTTCTTCTGCTATTTACCTCCATATTTCTACAAAATGTGTTCATATTTCTATTTCTTGATTGTTCCATTTCAGATATTACCTATTAACTTCCCCCTATGGAAGAGGATTTAGTTTGCATATACCCTCTTTACTCCTTGCACAGAAATACGTCACACTTGCCCAATCCTCCTAGCTTCCAAATACATTGTAACATTTAGTTAAATCAATAGTCAGTAGTCTAACTACTGTAGACAAAGTAAATATTCCCAGAACTGCTATGTAGGATTCAATGATTTTTCCTTTCTTGGGTAACTTTTTGTTTCTCTTAGAATTATTAGTTGCTCCGTTTTTGTTGTTTGCTTAGCTTTTTATATTCTTAGCACTTACGTACCTCATCAAACTCTCCCAAGCTGCAAAACTCCTCTAATAAAGTGAAAACATCAGGTAATTTGGGGGAGAGTGTTCTATTGTTTTCTTAGAGACATTCCTCCTGTACTCTTCATCTTGACTCAATCTGGCTGGATGGTTGCTACATAGGCCTGACTTGGACTGGAACTTCCCTTCACCATCATCCCCAAATTTCCTTATAATTTCAGAAGTATTACTTCATAGTCTTCTAGTTTCTAATGTGGCTGTAAAGCAGCCTGATACTGCTCTGGTAACTAACCCTTTTTATACTATTACTTCTTCCCTGAAAGCTTTTAGGACCCTGTGTTCATTTCCAGAAGCCTGAAATTAACAGCACATGTTTAGAGTGAGTCTTTTTCATTCACTGGTAGGACATTCAGTGAACTCTCTCAGCCTGTACTCTCAGTGAACTCATGTCTTTTAATTCCGGGAATTTTCTTCCGCTATTCCTTTACCACTTACAGCTTTTACTTCTTGTTTTCTCATACACACATGAGGAACTACATGCAGTTCCCAGTACCTGCTAACCTCTCTCACATCTCCATACCTTTGCATAACCTAGTTCTACTTTGAAGGTCTTTCTCTGCCCAGGAAACTCCTGTCCCTGACTATCTGCTTCAAGTCTCATAAGCCAAATTAAATTCTCCTTTTGGGCCTTAGCACCTTTCTTTACCCATTCAGCTTTCCCACTTACTTCCCACCAGACTATAAATCCCTTAAAGGCAAAGCTCATTTCTATTTATATCTGGATCTCCAGCACCTAGTACACAGCCAGGCACGTTGCACATTTTCCATTCAAAAATTGCTGAATGAACAAATGAATGAACAGTTTCTGGCTATTCTTCCCTTATACTTTTTGCAGCTAGAAAGATTCCAATCAGGCTAAGTAAAATCTGACATCTGTAGTGTTTACAAGTTCTCCCCAAGGATCGTGAAGCAAATCCTGAGTTGGAAACTGCCACCTAGGCTTGTTGGGAAACTGAGAGTATATTTGGGACTCCAGCATTGGGTATCAAAGGACAGGAAGAGAAGGAGGAACAAGGGGGCGCCTGGGTGGCTCAGATGGTTAAGCGTCTGCCTTCGGCTCAGGTCATGATCCCGGGGTCCTGGGAGCGAGTCCCACATCGGGCTCCCTGCTAGGCGGGGAGCCTGCTTCTCCCTCTGCCTCTGCCTCTCTCTCTCTCTCTCTCTCTCTGACTCTCATGAATAAATAAATAAAACATTAAAAAAAAAAAAAGGAGGAGGAACAAGAGGAGAAAGAGGAAGGAAATTCTTTTCAAAACAAACCTAGAGATCTAAACCAGGATGAGATCAGTATGAATAAATCTAAACCTTTTGTACAGAGCAAGTCCAGGGAATATGGATGAAGTGAGGTAGGATCAGTTACATTTGAAACTGACCTAAGGATACCAGAGGAAGGTTGACCTCTGAGAAGTATTGTTCTCCAGGACCTTCATTCCTTGGGATGAGGCAACTAATCGTGTTCTTCCCAGAATCACTGTTACTCACTTTGTGATACATCTTGCCATTTGGAAAATGGCTATGTATGAATGGAACTATGTAGTTACTTGAATGTTTTATTGAGACCATAAAAAATTAAGTCCCATCTTATTACTGAAGAGACTAACAATTCTGGGGAGTATGAATACAGGTTTTAATTCCAGTGAGTTTGGCAAACCATCACGGACTTAGCTGAAAAACCTGACTGAAATTCCCACTGCCTTCTATATATAAGAGTGTCAGACCCCGTACAGGTTTCCCCCACTATCCAAAAGTAGAGCCTTCCTATGAAACCTTTCATTAGCCAAAATGGTGTAAAGCAAAAAAACAACTGCCATTAATTTACAAGGAGAAAATTTTGAGTATTTCCAGACTCCAAAATTAACCCCTCTTAGGCTTTTCGGATAGCTTAGGGCACAAAATAAATCAAGAGAAATAAAGTACAGATGCTCTCAGACACAGTTCAAAGCTATGGTGGCTTGATGCTGAGATGCTGAGAGTGGTCCCAGGGGGAGGAGGTTGGGGTGCGTGCCGCCTCTTTTAACAGCTCTCTGCAAAACAAACGCTAAATGCGATTTTCCCTTTTTGCCTTTTTTCCCCCTAAAAGTGAAAATCCTCTTCAGATTTCTTTCAGTTAGCAAAACCAGGTATTAATGTAGGTCTTTCATAAGAGCAAAGTGGTGTAACGCAAATTTTCAAAAAGTGGAAGATACTTGTATATTTATTTTTCCCCTTGAGCTATCCCCCTTTAATTTAAAATCATTATTCTAAGAGGATCAACTTATGATCAGAAGAATGGAAAATACGAGTTGCTGATTAATCATACTTAGAGCATCTTGGGGAAGACTACTACCTGATCAAATTATGTTCTAATTTTTC